GGGGGGAGGGGAAGATACTCCAAGGTACTCGAGGGCAATTGCAAGGAGGATTCGGTTTACAGGAAAATAGTGAAGCAGATACGTGCGGCTCGATAAGCCGCGAAAGCCCACGGGGGACCTTAAATCCGAGTTCAACAAGTGAGCTTGCGGGTCGAATTCAGATGCATCTGCAAAGAGGAGTCCAGGCTGTTCCTGCACTCGTGCTGCAGCTGCGATCCGTCCGGGTCGAGGACGGCGTCTTGGCCGAGAAGCTCCCTGAAATATTCATCGCCTAAGATCGTCCTTAACCCGGCAATTAATATTCCTAGCATCTGGGATACGTAGTTCCAACAGGTGTCCAAATGACTTAAGCTGCATTCACACCGTGCCGAACCTTCAAAGCCCAATCTCGCCTTGAGCTACGTGCACTGTGTACTCGCAGAAGTCGCAGATGACGTACCACAGCTGCGAGCGTGACGCTGTGGCTGCGCGTTGTAATTAACGTGATCATATAGTAAACCCATATGGGACTGGTCATGGGATTTCTCCTGGGCAATTCATTTGCTACGGGGGCGCCTCGAGGTGCAGCCTTATTCTCTTGGAGAAGGGAATAGGACGGCACTACGGCAGTGCAGTCAGCCCCTGGACTAGGGGCTGGAAAACCTCTAGCCGTGAATCATGGGCTCCACGCGAAAACACCATAAAAGTAATACCCGTGTGTCATGTTATGGCGGGTGTGACTCATGACAGGATCCCAGACATTTGACCCCCCAAGGTGCCCGGAAAGTACGAATCTTACTTCTGAAGATTGCACCGATGGATATGGGAGGGGTAGGATAGGGACCAATGGATCACGTGAGATCACGTGACTCGATTCTATCAAGTACCGATATATATATATATATATATATATATTTGTTCGAGGCACGAGACGAAGAGATGGGAAGAAGGTTCGAAAGCCATATCCTACCAAAGTCCGTATCGGCTTGCGGGAAATAATGGCAAGTCGAGGGATTCCTTTGTTGTGGGAATCGCGCCGAGTGATCCTCTGATTCCGAGGAGGCAATTTTAATAATAATGCGGCAATAATCCCAGAGTCCATCCGGGGAACAATAAATGCGCAGTTAAGGTAAACAGTGACGGGCCTCGTGCACCGAGTGCTCCTGGCAACGTAAAACGACGGCGAATCGGCTGAATGGGCGTCGTGACTAGTTTGACGACCCCTCGTAGCGTCACAGCTTAGTCATTCGTTCGAGGACGATGAATCATTCGCGATCCTAGGACAGGCGAGTTTTACGAGGACCCGACTGTAATACAATTTTATAGTTATGTAATGTAGCGGGGATTGACTCGTACGTGGATATTTTTTTTTGGACCTTCTTTTTATCCTTTGGGTCACTGCCATTTCGCGTTTTGGCAAACCATCGGGACTTTTACGGTAAAAGCCATTCGGCGCGGAGGATCGTTAATATTGACGTAGAGGCACCCGAGCATCCAGCAACGTGCGAGATAATTAATGAGATCAACGTTAATTGTGCGGCGCATCACGTTCCTGTGTGAACCGCGAATTGTCAATTCTACACGAGGACCTTGCGGGAGACTCGAGTGCTCCTCGAATTAGCCGTAGTTACGCGTGCACCAATCTTACGCAGGTCTGCCCGAGGTCTATAGAAGGAAAATGATAAAAGATAACGGAAGTCATAATGCACTCTGAAGAGTGTTTAAACGAGAATATATCCTCAGCCCTCCCAGAATAACAAATTTCATTATCATAACCCGCATGGCGGTGATATTTTACCATAAATCGAGATATACGAGAGGACCACCTAAGGCTCCCATAAATTCTCGCCAATTCGTATCAATTACATCTTCTCGCTAATTCTATTATTTACGGGAAGGTTATCCTGGGAAGTTGGGAGGAGAAGAAGGGGAAGAAGGTCCCTTGGACTGGCCTATAGCGTCGCCGGATGTAACGGAAGCACCGA